AGATAAATTTCGCAATAGTGTGTGTGTGTGTGAGAGAGAGAGAGAGAGAGAGACAGTGTGAGAGAGAGAGAGAGAGAGAGAGAGAGAGAGAGAGAGAGAGAGAGAGAGAGAGAGAGAGAGAGAGAGAGAGAGAGAGAGAAGCCATATTGAGTACCTGCTGCCATGCTTGAATGGCCAAGCCCCTTTTATCAATCCGGCCAGCCAAGGCATCGCGTAAAATAGAAGGAAAATAGCGGAGGGTCTTCTCTGACCATGCATGTTGACTGGTGGCAAGTATCTGTTCCAACATCGTTTGGAGGTACAAAAGGTGTTCAACCTCTGCAACCCCACGAGTTTTGATAATGATGGCAAGATTAGTTACTGTTGTCCGATTCAAAGTTTCCGTAAATTCAGTTGGACCCTGAAAAGTGCGTCAGCAAGATAAGAGAAAATGCCTTCTCATGTACCACAGCATTCTATATAATCATAATAATTAAAAATTCTCCCGCACCTTTCCGTCCCTCTTTACATAAAAAAATTCCCTCATAGATAATATTAGATTCAAGCATAAATTTTCTGCCAGTCTAAAAGCACGATGGTCCCCACGTTTTCCCTTCAGTGTAGCAATTATTTTGGTGACGTCATGAATTAAGCCTTTGTGCTTGCCTTGGTACCTTGAAAAGGGGAAAACATAAAAAAGAATATTGAAATAATAAATACTTTGGCAATATCAAAAAAGAAATCCTCAACAAACAAATTTTGAACAGGAATATGAGTTCTTCACCTGTAGAGTAAAAGCAAACGATAGTTCAGAATTTCAAAGACCAAAAGCGAAGCAGCAGGTCTGCTCAAAGGGTTTTGGTTCCTCTGGGTCAGTAACTGCAATTGAGTTTAAAGATTTAGCTAGCAAGTTCTATTGCAAAAGGAAATATAAGAAAGAGAAGATAAACTTCAATACGAATAGCATGCCTCGGAACATAATAGGTCAAATAAATTAAACTGAAATGCAGATCAAAATTCATAAACTATAAATATATTTAAAAAAAAAAAAAAAAAAAAAAAAAAAAAAAAAAAGCATGTTGAACATTACAATCGGGAGAATGTTGATGGCAATGTCAAACTGACTCCACTATGACACCCTCAAATCCTGATATGCATATATTGTGACACTCACTTAATATAGTTATAGTATAGAGAAAAATGGACTTTGAGGAAGTTATTCTTTGGATAAATTACATTAAAATTACCCTTGATGCTATATTTACAACAAAAGAAATCAAGTATGTAAACTATAAATGCCCCTTGTTTTATTTTGCAAATTGCCCCTACTTGACGAGATGACTCTCCAACAAAAATGAACCTCAACGGGATGTTCAAATTGCCGGAAGTTAATTGGGTATGAAATTAGACCAACCTCAAGGTTAGTGTTTATAATTACCCTCTTTTTTCATTCCTTTTGATACTCCACGCAATATTAGAGAAGGACCACAACATAGTATACTAATTGATGGAAAGATATCGCATGAAATAATAATAGATGAAATTAGCCTTTACCATATAAAAACAGGTTTCGAATTATAAAGCACATAATAGTTTCAGAGACAGGAAAACGAAAATACCGTCATGAGTGAACGAAATAGTGAATGAGGAGCAATGAGCAGCACTCGAACATAAGTTTCAACCATTGCAATGCTAGGCAGAACCTGTTTGAACATGCACACATATTCAAAATAAATGCCATGTCAATAAATAAATAAATAAATAAATAAATCGACAAAAAAATATTATTTCCTCATGAACAATGCATATGCTAAGAACAGAAAATAGATCATAGGTTTTACCTGTCCAGAAAAAATGGACTCTTCCATTTGATGTGCCAGTTTCAAGCATAAATTAATCGAAAACCCAGAAATCAATGAAACTGGTAATGGGCTAACTTCCTGCATAACCATCAATCTCTCGTTCGACTGTATATTTGGTCCTGGCAATATTTCTGTTGCTCCAGCAGAAGTTAACCAGTTCATGACTGTTTCGCAAGCAGGCTGAGCCATAGTATACGAGACAACCCAAAACATCCCAATTGACCTTTCATCCATATTCATATAGTCCATTATGCGTTCCCCTGGTATTTGAGCACAAGTAAATAGATAAGCAGAGCAATGTGTACGACAAAAATTTCACACACTGTAATATAAGCATAGTAAAATGGGACTAATAAAGAAGTCAAGTAGGTTTAGATATTCGTATTTTGATTAAGTTATATGGTAAACTACAAGAAATTCTAATAAGCACTATTAATAAATAACGTGTTTCCCACTGAATGCATGGATGAATGAATTACCTTTGCTAACTTGCCTCCACCATTCATCTATTTGTTTTCCCTTTTGAAGCTGCTCGTTGTTCAAATATTCTCTGGTTGATGTATTTAGTGACCAAATACGCAAATTCTGACAACTGCTAATGAAGTCCAGCAAGATACTTTGAGGGTTATTAGGGTCAGTACTTCTGTCTTCTTTATGGAACGAAAGAATTTTTCGTGTTGCTTCCACCTACCAGAATATTATAATCAAAAAGTCAAAATCATGTCGTCGTAAATTGATTGGAAACAAAATTCAAAATGAAATCGGTGCTGTAAATTATGAAGCTAAAAAACATAAAAACTCTTTAAACGGAAGTACGAAGGAAAAAAAAAAAGAAAACGGATCAAAGATGATAAGGAAACAAACTGTTGCACCAAAACATGATATGTGTCTTTCTTACATTTGTGTTTAGAGCATTCATTACAAGCTCAACGCGGATAATCTGAGCAAGCAACCACGTAACATGGTTCGTCTTAAGAATATGTTGATCATTATCTTGAAGTCGAGAAACGAGCTTGCCGATAAAATCAACAAAATCAATGCATCCATGTTTCATGAGGAAAAAGAATACATCTGAAAAGACAAGCCACTCCTGCCAGCAATTTGCCTCTACAGGTTAACAATGTGAAGACAAACAACACAAATTAGATTTACCAACAAAAAGCACATATGACCTCAGCTTGAATAATAATAATTTTTAATATCCGATGGATCATTAAAAAAGTTCTCTTTTTAAGATATATAACATAGCAAAGCATGGCTAAACTTTTAGATGAAATGGGCATTCAACAAGTATCTTGCTTTGTACGTCATTTTCGTACCGACAATTCAAAAGAAGATAAGTCGACACGTGATTCTATTTACATTTTTGGGTTACAATCACTGAAGCTGACCACTGAAGCTATATTAGTTTCTTTTCTTAAGACTTCATTTGCCGTTAATTTACATTTCAACTGTTCCGAAAGGTGTTCTCGCAGCAACAGCATGTGTAAATAAAATATATAATGATCTAATGTCTAATGATCATGACTATAGATTCATGGTAAAACAGGTAACAGAAGAAATGCAGACGACTAGATAATTAAAGTCTTGGAGTTATTTAAAAAAAAATACAAAATCGTACCTGAATTTGTTAATTTCAGTAATTCCACTATACGATCGATTGTTGCCTCGCTAATCATTTCTGAGGTAAAAACAGCTCCGAGAGTAGGTCCTTGTGCAGGAAGCCTATGCAATGGAGCCAAGAGTAACACACGTCTCCACCAATCAGGGGATGGAGTGTTGCGGAAAGCATGCCTCAAGAATCGCAGAGCTCGCTCCCAGTCAAGACTTCCTCTCTGAATGGATGATGCAATTTCCTATCCAAATAATATAAAACCAAAAAAAAACATGGGTTTATGATACATTTACAAATTCACAGTTTTAACAATATACACGTAAATATGATAGATATTGTATAACCTAAATTCCAGAATTGACTACACCATGGAGTCTCGGGAAGTTTAAAGGATGATGTGCACCATGCTTTATGTGAAAACTATGGCACTGACGAGAGTATAAAACTGACACGGATTTTTTTACTTCAATTTCAGATTAGTTCTACTTATCCTTTACTCAATTTGAATGTTTTAAAGTTGAAGTTGAAGTTAAAACATTTTTATGTTTTGGCAGCTTATTTCCTCAATTTGATTGTTTTGGCATCCTATCCTTTCCTCATAACAAATATTCCATGGAATCTTCAAGATTCCGTTACTCATAACTGCGTAAGGGTGTAATTGTAAGATGGAGAAATAGCTCAGGGAAAATTTGTAATTACCAATTCCACAGGGGTTTGTAGGTTATTTAGTCTTACCTCAGGAGATGCCGGTAATTTTACCCAATATTTTATTAGCTTGTTAAGCACAAGTTTAACTCCAAGGAAATTAACGGAACATGAAATTACCTCTCCATGCAAAGGTTCTCCAAGCACACTCGGATATGTTATGGGTGAATATCTCATGTTAGTCACTGTTTCGCCAGATATATTGGTCGTGGCCTGAGGCAAAAGTCGAGGAGTTCCAAACGTCGGGCAGTGAAGATGCTGATCCAACATTTGCATGTGGGTTGCCATCATATCCCTCCTCCTATGAATCTCCAAAATAAGTGTAAACAGCGCCTCGTCATCCGGTATATTTTCAATAAACTGCAAGCCACTACGTATTAGTTCATAAAACGGCACACGGCACTTATTATCTTCAACCAGCACCCAAACAACATCTAAACAGTTGTGCAGCCATTCCATTAGGGCATTGTCGGGCCTCCACGTTTTCGCACTGTCAAATTCGTCAGGCCCTTGCTGTTTCTGATCCCAATTAACGAGCCAATTCATCATGTGGTTAAAGATATCGGCAAGTGTGACCGGCATTAGGTTAGAGTCGAGGCCGACCAAAATTATCTTGCATGACAGCTGGCGTAGACTGCTGATAGCGTTTTCTCTGACGGATGTTCTGGCCCTTGTTGACTGTTGACCGTTGGCATCGTTTGACTTCATGGGAGATAGTGTGGACGATGGCTCGGCTGCTGACTGTGCAGGGGATCCGACGCCTTGCATTGAAGGCAGAGGAGATGCAGGATTTGACGAATGGAAATTAGTGGAATTGGGAACTGTGTTCGAAGGGGGCGGGGCCCCCGAGTGTGATGAATTTCCGGAAGCAACAGCGGCCACTGTTTGACTGACAGGTGTCTCTGCAGAAGAAACTGAAGAGAGAAGAGATGGCAAGAAAGCATCCCAATTTATGCATCCTATACTGCACAAACTGCGCAAAGCAAAGAGCAAGAACTCTGCCCTTGGAGCATGACTACAGCATTGGATAACCAGAGATATTAGGACAGATTCTGTAACAGCACGTAGTTGCTCCTGTTCCTATATGAAACAAATCAAAAATCTTTAAACAAGAAGAACAATGGTTAACTGATGATAGCAACGAGTGTCTAAAAGATTACTGGAAACTGGCTCTGTATCCGCTCAAAGTCGAAAAGGAACTGTTCATTAGGAGGAGGAAGCTCCCTGTTAATAGCGGTAACTCGCTTCTGTGCCTTGTTCCTGTTATATATTTAACCAATATCTATAAGAAGAATTTATTCATACTCCGGATCATAAACAAAAAGTACCATGGCGAATATAAAACTAGTTTCCACATGAGTTCAGCTTAAACAAAAATTTCCACGTGTGTCTTTCTGCAAATAATGTTAATGCCTCTCATCCGCAGTGGCTTAACACATTAATGCCTCAATTTCATAGGAAGGATGAAATGACATACGATATGGTTGCATTTTGATATGCACTCGTGTATTTCAACTTATATTTGTGTTTGGTAACAAGTATTAGAAGTTGTGATTATTTTTACTTTTTTCATGTGTCCCTTCATAATCATTGATGTACAAATATAGGGTTACAATCGCAATTTATATTTGTAATATAGGAAGCATTATTATAGTGGATAACTTCTTACCGCATCAAGTTTGATCAATTATCAAGTAAATTGTCTGATTACATTGAGGACTAACAACAAATCACGTGTGTTTGCCATACTACCAAATAAAATATCGGTTTTCATTAGTAACCAAATTCAAACGAGGCCTGAATGTTTACCGCCTACTAGTTACAGTCATCAACCGAAGAAACGAGGCCTCTGCCAAATCCTCAAAAGGCTTACACATTTTTCAACAAAAACTACAATTTATGTATCACGGATACGGTAAAAGTACAATTTGGTAGAAATTCTTTAACTATACATTTATCATATAAATATGACATTCTTTTTTTTTTTTTTGAAACATCAACATCATTTTTCTCATTTCACCCTGGACAACTAGACTAAGCTGTCCTAACTGAAAGCCGTAGCAACACTCAATAGAGAGTTGCGACGAATTGCAAGAATCAATCTCAAGACTGCATAAAGTTCATCTAGCCTATAACCAAGCAAGATCATTCAAAATGAGTCCGTCCTTGTTGTGTATATAAGTCAGGCCCTAATACATAAACATAGAGTGTGGGAAGTTGTTCATTGTAACTACAGCAATCTTATAATCTTTATCCTCTAATATCGTATTACGAGAGAGAATCTCTAACGAACCAACGATCCAAGTTTCCACTATGTCTTCCTCACACCCTAACAACTCCTTGCTCTCAGTATCACAGCCCAAATCAATGATAAATTAACCTTATATGCTAGCCGATTACGCGCTCCCGTTACGCAGTTAAAAGGAGTAGCTCTCAACTCAATTCATCACGAAAATCGGTTGATCGCAGAGAGTCGAATTAAAAGTATCCATACCAACAAAGATAAATGATGATTTTCCACAATTAGGAACTTACTGCTTGACATAATTCACCAGCAATCAGAAGAAGCACAGAAACTTCACATAGTAAACGAAACTCGAAAAGATCAAAAAACACTTGGCAAAATTTTATGAAGACCGACATACATATATTTTATTGAAAAGTGTTCAGTTTATATAACTCACGGCGGTTCTCTGACTGGTTCATCTGACTTCTGCCGCGAACTCTGCAAGCTCGAAAAGAAAAAAAAAAACAGAGGAAATTGAATTCAAACGGAAACCGAAATAATAGAAATTGAAAACCGAAATTGAGGTTTTCTGTGGAAATTGGTTTACGCACGCCTAAGTAGAGATTGAATAGGTCGAGTATGGCGGGCCGGGCCGGGTGGAAATGGTGGGCACGGGAAGAGGATGAAGAAGAAGGTCGCTGTTGCTGCGGCGGCGGAGGGTTGTTGAGTTGTTCCATATCGGAGAAGGACTGCGTGGCCGGGCCCGGAGTGGGAGCCCGCTGCATCATTCTGGAAACATGAAAAGTAGACTGCTCGGGTTTGAGCAAACAAGACTGGAGGAGACGAGGGGGGAAACCAAGGTAAATAAGGGAGAATTCATTTTAGTCTCTTTGAAAATGTAATGCTTTTTTTTTTTTCTAAATTCAAAAAACAAATATAATTTTTTTTTTTTTAGGGGAATTGAAAATATAATTTTGTTAGAGAAATGTGCTAGAGTTCCTAAAAACCATTATTAAGTTGGGGTTATTTGTGGAAACACCCATCACACAAGTCTAATTACAATGGGTACAATTTTTTAATAATTTTTTGAGATAAATCAATTTCATCATTTA